CACACACATCACAAACGTATCAAAATACATTACAAAGTTGTTATATTATATTATATCACAAAAAAAAATATGCCCCAAACAGAGGCCCAGCCAGGAAGCAAGAGGCAGGCAGAGAGCTTGCTAGCTGCCAACTGCTCCCAGGACTGTTAATACATTATCATCTTCAGAAGTTGAGTCAGAAGATGCTGCCCAGCTTGAACTCCTACATCAACGGGACTGGCTGAGTGTGCGTGGGTGGATGTGTGGGTGCTTGGTTGTATTGGAATGCCCACCATGGAATGGGGAAGCTGGGATGCCCTTGGTAGTAAAAAACTGGCTGAAAAACTTTTTTTGTGTGTGAAAAGGATAACACTATATCACAAAGTTTACTTTCAACTAACATTGCTCAAACCTGCATGAAATCTTGGTCTTGATTTTTAGGGAAAAGCCTCTTTTTAGATTTTACCCCCCAAAAAAACAAAATAAAAGATGTTCTCTGCAGTGAAAGAACTGAACATTTTTAGCACCCATTTTTTGCCAGCACAAATCAGGGTGCTGTTTGTGTGTGTGTGTCTCTGTAGCTGGAGGAAGAGGGAGTGAGGCCCTTTCCTGGCAGAGATTTACCAGGTTTCAGACCTGAGGAAAGTTTCTTGCAGTCTTGAAAGCGTGTGTGTGTGTGTGTGCATGCATGCACACACAAGCTACGATGCTGTTGGTCTAAATGATGAAGCATAGGCAAGAGGGAGTTGTTGGAAAAACTGTACTGTAGCAGTGAGAGGAGAGGGCATATAGGCCAACACCAACCAGGAGTGCTGAGAGGGGGCCCCCTGCCATGGGGAAACCACCCAGGGGAACAGGCTAGATATTTCAGTTCAGCACTGTTGCTATTGTAAATAGAGAGAGAGAGAAAAAACATGAGTGTGCACAAGTTGGCATGCCATGGGTCAACATGTGGTGAAGCACAGGCAAGAGGGTGGGAGGGAGGGAGGGAGGTAGCACATGTAGCCCACAAGTTGACCTTCCTGGTAGAATATAGAGCCAAGTTAGGCATGGGCCTAGAGTGACAATCTGGGCCGGGGACCTTTTTAAAACGATGATAATAGCATGTATGTTTGCATGCATGCATACATGTATCTGTGTGTGTGTGTGTGTGTGTATGCGTGTAAGTATGTATTAAAATAAATAAATACCTGGTAGTCAAGTGGTTAGGAGGCTTGGCGGTACTGTGCAAGTTGTGTTCCAAGTTGCTGGAAAAACTGCACTGTAGCAGTAGTGAGAGGAGAGGGCACATTGGCCAGCATCAACCAAGAGTGCTGAGAGGAAGCCCTTAGCCATGGGGAAAGCACCCAGGGGGAACAGGTTAGAATGGGCATTCTTAAAGAAGCTGCACTATAGCAGGAGTGAGGGGAGGCATGCAGGCCAACATCAACCAGGGGTGCTGAGAGGGAGCCACCAGCCATGGGGAAAGCATATTTACTTGGGATAATTACCTGGGCTACATGCAAACACAAACAAAGAAAAAGGAACATTACATACATGATCCTTGAAATAAGCTAATGAAGCATATTTCAGTAAGTAGCTTCTTGGAATAGCTTGACCATTTGTAAGTTTTTAGCATTTTTAAATCTTGCACACTGCACTGCGAACTGGGGCATGTAGCATCAGCAGGAGGAGCAGGAGAAAGGAGGGAAGGCTAGAAGCAGGGCAAAAAAGAGATAAAAAATATATTCATTGAAACAGAAATATTAATTTTTAAATTATGAAGGGATTATTTAAAATGCAAGCTTAGTTGCTCATGTATTCACACAATACGAGGACATATCTACAGTGAGGCAGAGAGAGGCTAATGGTGAATTCCCACAGGCTTTTTCTGGAATCTAAAAGAATATTAAGAGTATTGTAGAGGCACCTGGAAATGACATTTTGCCATCCTTTTTTCTGGAGATGGAAGTGGCATCAGGTGACTTTCCCAGGGCTTGTGTTCTTCTCTTCTGTCTGCTGTGCCCAATGGTAGTAGCAAAATATAAAGCATAGCATTCGGGAACTAGAAATAGGAGGGAGAGAGGGAGAAGTTAAGAGCATAAGAATTTGTATTGTAAAACCACCATGCAGTCATTCCAGCCCTGAAATGGAGGTAGCCCTCCT